ACATACATTTAATTTTAAACTCCAAATTAGTGTTTTCATTCGTGATATTGTGGATAAAGTGTATAAAAATGATTGTTTTCCTATATATAATAAAATATTATATTATTGGGAGAATTTTGGACATGGCTGTCATGGCATGAACACGGCAAAGACATGTTTTGAACACTTTCAGGACACAACATTGTGACTCTGTAATTAATTTTTTTTTTAGAAAGAATGAAATTCAATGCAATTTAAAATATATTATGCACTAATACAAAAAACAAAATAATAATTTAACATAATAAAAATAACATACATTTAATTTTAAACTCCAAATTAGTGTTTTCATTCGTGATATTGTGGATAAAGTGTATAAAAATGATTGTTTTCCTATATATAATAAAATATTATATTATTAATTTTTGACGTATCCATGTTGTATTCGTGTCTTATTTTTTTGAAATTTGTTGTATCACCGTGTTCGTATCGTGTCATACCCGTATCTCGTATCCGTATCCGTGTTTGCTAATTTACTAGAGTTGCACTACATATTTTTCCTTTTTCTTTTTTTCATTACAGATTCCAATTGCTCATCCAAAAGGGGAGAAAAATATGAAGTTTTAATCACAAGAGCACGATGTAGTCAAAGATGTTGTACGTGACTGGTCAACCGAAATGCCCATTGACACCCACTGCTGGAATGTTTAATACTTAATTTTTGAGTGATTGGGTAGTAGAACCTAAAAATTATAGCCCAATTGCATGCAAGTAATTATAGAAAATATAACTAATTAAGCCAATAATATAAATCGACTACAATATGATTTCTTAATATTATTTTATATAGTGTTTCAAAGATTTCATTTTTCTTTTCCCTCTTTTGCCTGCCTACATTTTATAAATTGAAATGATTAGCAAGGCCACCTGATCATCTGCAATTAGATCAATTGAAGCCCTCAATCATCTGTAGTTACAGTTCTCTAGGCCTTAGTTAATCCTCTGATCTCATTTATGGCCTCATTTTCCTCAATCTTTCCCCAAAAAGAAAACACAGAAATCACTACTCAATGTCCACGTGGAAGTCTTCTATGGCTATAATGCAACTCTATTTCTTCATGGAAATTTCACCAAAGTATCATTTAAATGAAAGAAAAGTCTTGGATTTGGACGATATTATATTTTGCGTCTTAGATGTCACAATTGATCCTTAAATTAGAAAAAATTTAAAAGACTATAAGTGTTACGAATAAGAAGGGGTACTAGAATTAGAATTGATATTCCACAAGGATTTTTGCTTGAGCTATTCTTTAGCGTATGAAAGCTTTGCAGTTGGAATTCAACTGGATAAGTGGTTTTAGTAATTTCAAAATGACAAAAATGCAATGGAAAATATAATTATAGTGTTTTATGTAATGCTTATTTTTTGACGTATTTATGTCGTATTGGTGTCTTATTTTTTTTGAGATTTATGGTATCGCCGTGTCCATATAGTATCGTACCCGTGTCTCGTGTTCATATTCGTGCTTCCTGATTTACTAGAGTTGCACTACATATTTTCCTTTTTCCTGTTTTTTTCATTACAAATTCCAATTGCTCATCCAAAAGGGGAGAAAAAATGAGGTTTTAATCACAAGAGCACAATATGGTCAAAGATGTTGGTACGTGATTGTTGCTATCTAACATTCATTATGCTGGCCAACCAAAACACCCATTGACACCCACTGTTGGAATGTTTAATACTTAATTTTTGAGTAATTGGATAGTAGAAACCAAAAATTATAGTCCAATTCCATGTGAGTAAATTGTAGAAAATTTAACTAATTAAACCAACAATATAAATCGATCACAATATGATTTCGTAAAGTTGATATTTAATTATAGGAGGAATGTATTATGTAGGCCATCTGATCATCTGCAATTAGATCTTTTGAAGCCCTCAATCATCTGATCTATGGCCGCATTTTACTCAATCTTTTCCCCAAAAATCACTAGTCAATGTCCACGTCAAAGTCATCTATGGCTATAATGCAACTTTGTTTCTTCATCAATTACTTTCTGCATGGAAATTTCATCCAAATATCATTTAAATGGAAGAAAAGTCTTGGATTTGGAGGATATTATATTTTGTGCCTTAGATGTCACAATTGACCCTTGAATTAGAAAAAAATTAATAGACCATAAGTCTTTAACGTATAGGAGGGTATTAGAATTAATTAGAATTGATATTCCATAAGGATTTTTGCTTGAGCTGTTTTTTAGCATATGAAAAGCTCTGCAATTGGAATTCAAACGGATAAGTGGTTTTAGTAATTTCACAATGACAAACACGCAGTGAAAAATATAATTATAGAGTTTTCTGTAATGCTTTTGTTGTGGTGCAAGTATCTATATTACCAGGTTAGAGCTTATACAAATAGAATGAAAACTCTTCCTCATAGTGCATATATTTCCACGGTAGATTGGCACCCTACCTTGCACATTTGCTTGACCAGGTCAGCTTGGGCCATTAAGGCACCATTTGGTTGACATAAACAGTGCTTCAACAGCTCTATTGCTCCAAAAAAAGGTATATATATAAATAAAAATAAAAATAAAAAAATTTAACTTTTAAGCATACTTTGCTTTTCCCTTGGGAATAATGGAAAGAGCAAAGCAAGCTAAAAGGCATCAATAATGCATTGATATTCTCATCGAAATATACTAGATGTAATCAATATTTGTAATATGTATCACATAAAGTTATTAATCAATGTCATACCATCATTATTATTATTCAAATAAAAATCTTTCCTGTTACAAATAAGTCATGATAAATAATTTTCAGTTGCTCTTGACAGTGTCCATATGAATATGCTAAAACCAACATTTATGATCTTAATTATGCATACAACTGAATATAATTAGTGTCTTTATCATTAGAAGTACTATAATTTTGGATTTCTTGCTTTCCTGTAAATGCACCTGTATTTGCTGTCACCGGCAATATATTTGTTCTGATTCCAGGGAACCACAATAATGCAAAAAATAATCAACAATTTTTGCACTGAATCTCTTGTTGGCAGATTAGGATGGCAAGTAAGGAGCATTATAGTTTTATTTGCAAAACCTAAAAGTCCCAAATATAAGATCATCATATCTAATAGTCCAAAATACATTAATAATACCAGAAGTGTCTTCATATCTAATTCCACAACAAATCACATACATAATATTTGCAAAATTATATTCTTCATGGAATAAAAAGGACCTAGCTTCAGTGGGTACGCGGAACCAATATCTGGTAGGAACTTATCTTCAAAAGGAAGATAACAGAAGCGAATCACATTTTTTTTTTTTTCTAGTTGGGACCCACACACATTGTCTCCACTAAGCTCCGAATTCCTAACCTCCCTTTGAAATGTAGGAGCCTTGTACCGCTAGGCCACAGGCTTGTTGAATGAAGCCAATCACTTTGGTTAAGTAGCTTCCACTGAAATGCAAAAGGCAAGAAAAAGGAACAAAAATATTAGTAATCAGTTTAAGCAATCTGAAATTGACCAGCCAACAATAGATATAAACCGAGAAACTAATAATTTTTATTTTATTTTATTTTTTTTTCATGCGGCATTTTTCATGTGGGGACACTTGAAGTGTGATAAAGAGTGTCATTCAAGTACTTAATCGTTAGCTAATTCAAAAACAAATTCAAGGATTGAAAGTTTAGCCAATGCATGAAAAACGGGTAAGAGCACACATTTACTTCAAATTATGCACTTTTGAATCCCAATTTTAAGTTTGGGATAGTTCCCTTAACATGCTAAGTAAACAAGATATGGCAAAATCAATACTGCTCGTCATTTCTTATGGGTGACTGATTGTTTTAAGTTAAAAAGGATCTGGAAACCATCATGATCTCCCTTGGCTCAAAACCTTGTCTAGTGACTGAATAAGGAAGCTCTCAGTCATGATATTCACACTATAAGATGAATTTCAGTTTAGGGCTCTGGCACAAAATTTGGACTACCAATAGAATGCATTATGATTTTTAAACACATTAATCAAGTAGCCAGTTCAACCCGTACTTCATAAATTACTTGAATGTCGCACTATTTTGAACACTAGGAAAATATTTTTCTCCAAAAATACTTCAACCAACATTGAATGCAGAGTGCCTCACAACACTCAACTTACCTCACCAAAAGCACTGAGAAAAGTATATATGCTTGCTTTTCTCATCTTCATTGATTCTATTCATTAAAAGAAGCAAGATTCAATTGCAATGACAGGGAGGAACCTAAACCACCTAATTATCTATAATTAGAACTTTTCATTGCAAATTCATGTCTTTTATTAATGCAACTCTGTTTCTTCATCAGTTACATTAAGGCCAAGTTCTTTTGAGACATAGTTTCTTCATGGAAATTTCACCCAAGTATCATTCAAATGACAGGAAACTTAATAGGATTTGGTCTTCTATAAGTCTTCTAGCTAGAAGACGTAGGACTATAAGTCTTCTAGCTAAATGCATTGCTCGAGAATTTTTATAACAAGGTCTATACAAACATGCTAAAAACTACATTTAAGATAATTTTTTGCTGTGAGAAGCAATATGTTTATTCTGATTACAGGAAACTACGACGATCTAACTCAAGGCAACAACATGAATGCAAATTATAATCAACTTTTTTTACATTTTAAACGGAGAGCTTCTTCAGTGCTTTGATAGGAGTCTCTGTGATAGTTAACTCCAATAGTCTAAAATAATATGATCTTTTTTACTTTTTGATGTAGTTTTCTCATTCATAGGTTTTTACCTATCCTTTGCAAAATTAATTTATCAAATAGTTCGCTAGGTCAAGTCCAAGTTCTGTATGCTACCATCTACAAGACTAGTAACATTCGTGACGGGTTTTTAAGGAATAATAACGATCAATGAACCTTCACTAGTTTAGAGACATTGTCCCTTACCATATCAACATTGTCCCTTACTACAAGTGAGGATTCAGGTGATAGATGGTTTCTCTTTTAAATTACATTGTCCCTTACTATATCAACATTCTCCTCCAGCCTTGTTTGAAATCTAAATGAACATGTTGAAACAAAAAAAGAAAAAATAATAATTATTACAATAATAATAATTTTCTCCCTCCTCCATTGAAGCAACATATTTACGTCTAGAGTACCGACTTGCAAATTTTTTTCCCCCTTTCTGAAGGCAACAGATTAACATCTAAAGGAATGACTTGCAAAACTTATACTTCGTTTTTGGGCTGAACTTGTTATAGGATAACATTACGTATTGAGTTTAAAAATAAAAATAAAGAATGAGACTGAGCCAGAGTTTCATATGGTAAAGAGGACTTTATCAGTAATCGTGTTTAAGGAAACGGACATGAGACAACAAACTATGTAATACATTTATTTTGGATTGCCATACAGGCCACAACCATTGTATACTAATAGCCCATCACAACAATATGGTGGTGCTTCAATCAACACAAACTAATTCCAGAAAAAGCAACGGGTATGCAAAACTCAGCGTCCTACTGCAGGAACTTATTGTCAAGTGGAACAGGTGGTCACATCTTTTAGTTGAAGTGGCTTCCATCGAAAATACAAAACAAAAGAACAATATGAACAACATTAGTAATCAGTTTAAATTTAATCAATGTGAAATTAACCAGCCAGCATCAGTTTACAAGAAGAGTAAACCAAATTTTTATTTTTAATATATATTTTTATTATTGAGGCATTTTTGATGAGTAAAGTGCTATAAAGAGTGTCATTCAAAAATTCAACATCTAGCTAATGCAGAAACAAAGTAAAGGAGTAAAAGTTCAGCTAATACAGAAAAACCGAAGGAGAGATTTACCTGTTAGCTTTGAAGCCGCCTCCTCAATCTAGCCATATTCACAGCTGTTGTTACATAAAGCCAATCTTTTATATTGTTGAAGAAGTTGAAAAGGACATGTTCCCATGAACGATTGACCAGTAAAGTGCCAAAAACTCCACCAAATCCAACCCCAAAACCTAGCCCCATGCTCACATAAAATTCTCGGTTTATGAACCCATCCTCATTTCCTTGAATGATATCATCTTTAACAACAGAAGGTTCCAGAGTTGTTTCATCTCCTGGGCACTTATTTGGAAGTGGAAGCCCGCAAAGTTCATGATTTCCAGAATATGCAGAGGCATCAAAGCTCTGCAATTGAGTGCTTGATGGAATTTTCCCGGACAAATTGTTATTTGACAAATCCAAGACAGCAAGAAAATCTAAACGAGTGATGCTTGTAGGAATCTCACCAGAAAGCTGATTTCTAGACAAATCGAGAGATTCTAACATTTTCAACTCACCAATATTTTGAATGACATGTCCATTCAATTCATTTCTCGATAAGTTCAAATAATTTAATTCTGCAAGACTCGAGATTTCTTCAGGAATTTTTCCAACTAATCTATTGCCAGAAAGATCAATGCCTCCTATTAGTGCTAAATTATTTTTGTATTCACTCTCTTTCCCTTTCCATAGCACCAATGCATTATCTACATACATACTAAGAAAAGCAGTAGAACCACTTATATCAGCAGTATAGCCATGAGCAATGTTTCCTCTAGATTTATTCCGCCAAACCAAAGCTGTAAAATTATTTAAGCACGACGGAATAATCCCAGATATATTGTTTTGGGAGAGGTCCAAGATTTGAATAGAGTTGAGAAGGCAAATTTCTAGAGGTATGTGTCCATGCAACTTATTCAACCGCAGACTAAGAACAATTAAACTTGTCAAGTTTGTCCCTATCCATGATGGTATTTTTCCTGATAATTTATTTTCTCCCAGATCAATGATCTTCAAACGACTACAGTTCTTCAATGACAAAGGCAATTCTCCAATGAAATTGTTATTGCGTAAGTGCAATGTTTGAATTTGATTGAGGAAACCCATAGAGCTAGGAATTTTTCCAGAGAAATTATTGTTAGCCAAATTAAGGATGACTAATCCATCCATATGCATCCAGCAATCAATAAGCTCCCCTGACAATCGATTATCTGAGAGATCAAGAACGCTGATAAACCCATTGGTTATGTTGCATAAGAAAGAAACTGACCCAGAAAACATATTTTTAGAGAGATTCAAAACTGTGACGTTGGGAGGAAATAGTGGCATTGGACATTCAAAGCTATTATTGCTCAAATCTAGTATAGGATAAAAAACTGTTTTCAATGACGTCAAATCAGGCACTATGCCATTCATGTGGTTGGAGGAGATATTTATGTAATACAGTTGAGGAGATAAATTCCAAAACTCCTTAGGGACAACATCTGAAATTCCAGAATAAGAGATATCAAGCTGAGAGTAATTGTTTTGAGTTAGAAGCCAGTTTGGGAAACGAGGGCCCAACTGGCAAGACCGCAAGTTTATGACATCTAGTTGAAAAGGAGGATTCCAATCAGAACTGATGTTTAAAGATAGGGAGTTACCAGACAAGATCAAATACTTCAAGTTGTTGAGATTTGAGAGGTGGGTTTCGGAGATTGTACCTTGTAAAGAATTTGAAGAGACGTCCAAAATTTCAAGCATTAAAAGTTGCCCAATACTTTTGGGTAGTGGTCCAGTCAATCGATTGTCTGAAAGAGACAACTCTCTCAATGAGGATAATCCTTTTAAATCTGGTAAAGACCCACTCAATCGATTGTCCCAAAGATCCAGCACTCTCAATGAAGATAATCCTTTAAAATCTGGTAAGGACCCACTCAATTGATTACGAGACACAACCAATTCCTTCAAAGATGAAAGTCTTGCTATACTGTGAGGCAGTGAACCACCAAGTTGATTCGAAGCCAAATTCAATGTTTGTAAACTAGTACAGTTCCAAATGGATTTTGGAATTCCACCTTCAAGTTGATTCCAGCCCAAATTCAATGTTTGTAAACTAGTACAGTTCCCAATGGATTTTGGAATCGCACCTTCAAGTTGATTCCAGCCCAAATTCAATGTTTGTAAACTAGTACAGTTCCCAATGGATTTTGGAATCGCACCTTCAAGTTGATTGTTAGAGAGATACAACTCTCTCAATGAATGGAAGCCTTTGGGAATCCTACCTTCAAGTTGATTTTCAGAGAGATCAAGAAAGGCAAGGGAATTCAAGTTTCCGAAAGAATCAGGGATGGGACCTTGTAAATTGTTATAAGAAAGGTCTACATGAACAAGACTAGTATTGAAATTGAACAACCAACTGTATATTGATGAAGAATTGAAATAATTGTCGGATAGATCAAGGACAGCAAGGGACAATGCAGAAGAATTTATCAATGGAAGTTGGGGTGAAATGATACCAGGGAGAGGGAGAAGACAATGACTCAAGTGCAATTCGGTTAGGAGAGGGAGCTTATTGGTTGCTTCCATCCAATCTATTGCATTCCCAAGATTAAGCCATCTCAGATCAAGGTATCTTAATAAAGAAAGATGAGAAACCCACTCTAAACTTCTTACACTCACTTCATAATTATTGCCCAAATCAAGAGAACGCAATTGGGAAAGATTCCCAAACTGATTAGGAATCGTACCAACAAAAAAAAAATTATTTGAAAGATTGAGGTATTGTAAACTGCTAAAGGAACCAATGAATTCTGGGATGTTCCCTTCAAAATAATTGAAACTGAGGTCCAAATACTTCAAATGCTGCAATTCAAGCAATGAAGGACTAATCTTACCTCCCAAAGGCTGATCCAAGCCAAGAAGATCAAGCACAGTCACGTGAGCAGTGCGGTTGCTACACCGGACTCCTCTCCATTTGCAGCAGTCTTCAGTTGAGTTTCCCCAAGAAGAGAGAATGCCATAATCATCAATGACCCCTTCTTTAAACTCAAGGAGAGCTTCTCTCTCCCTCTCTATGCACCTCACTACTTTACCAACACTTGAATTACTGAATAATCCAAGAGCTGGTTTCATTTTCAAGCACAATATTACTAAAAAAAACCAACACTTTGAAACGTTTAAACAACATTTCTCCCGTGATCATTTTCAGAAGCGGCCGGTGAAGATAACCACTTACAATAAACACCAAAGGTTGGTTTTCTTTATGCTCTCTAGCCATGTGATGACCCCCATTTATACTAACTGAAACCTTTTCTTTTCTTTTATTTCTTTTTATTTTTATTTTTTCGGAAAAGGTACTTCAATATTTCATCTAAAAGACGAAAATTATTGCGTGGAAAACAAAAAGATATGTAGCTTTAATCACAAAAGTATGGTAGAGTAAAAGACGTTTGACGACTATTAAATTACTATCTTACATTCGTTCACAAAAGTATGGTAGAGTCAAATTTTGCTTCGACAAAGTTGTACCATTGTGCATCGATTCGATTTGACCAGTGTCAAATTTTATCTAATGTTTTTTTTTTCCAGGAAATTTTCAAGCAATTCACTGACATTGTGTTTGGAAGTATTTTAATTTGATTTGAAGATCACATTAAATCCAAGTTTGAACTAATTTTAATCTAATTCTAAATTAAAAAAATGTATTCCATTCTACAAAACATAGTATAAAAGAAGTTTTTCACTTTCAGTGATAGTCAATGATAAGAAAGATGTTCAAATTTGGATGTACAAGTGTTTCTTGCCAAGTGTGTATAAAAAGAGTTTAACGTAACATTAAATCAATAATTACTATAAAAACAATGACAAAAGTATCATCTTTTTAAAGTAAAAAAGAGTTTAACGTAACAGTATTGCTACAATTACTAATGACGCATTTTTTGGCTACAGATTATAAACTCATTTGTTCTGGTGTGTGTAGACATCTATATATATCTTTTCATTATCAATTTAGTAGGTCTCTCATCAATGAAAGTCTAATTATATATATTCAATAAAATTAATTTTAGTTTAGTGTACATGTCATTGCAAAAATGTTGAGATAATAAAATATCAATTTCTTAAAGTAAATAATAGTTTCATATTCAAACTTGTGTACATATCGTTGCAAAAATAGTCTGTTGCACCTTCAATTATACTGACAGGAGGAACTTAGACCATCTGATCATATGAAACAATTTATGCCAATATGCTTCTGAATTTCTTTATAAAATCAACTATGATATCTCCTACATATCATATTTCGTCAAAAAGAAAGGGCTAAGAAATCATTAGTCAAGTCTACTCAAATTCTTTTTATTTTTATAATGCAATGTGTTTTTAAAGGCTGAATTTCTTTTGAGACAAATTCTTGGCAGAAATTTCATCAAATTATGACTCTGTTCCCCCATTGATATGAAAAGGAAAGCAGAAATGAAAATCCACTACCCTGTCATCCATGGTCTTTCGTCAAAAAGAGAGGGCAGAGAAACTTTTTTCAACATTTTTTTTTAGTCCGAGTTTCTTTTGTGACATACTTCGCAAAGAGCATGTCATCTCACCAGTGTGTCATATAAGGATTAGATACGCACAAGCTACTGTATGTAGTGAGTATTTTTTTTTTTTTTCAAACCGTGACCTCGAGATCATAATGCATTAGATAAGCACAACCTTCCAAATGCATAGAGACTACTTTTTCGTTTTAATTTGTAACTTTGATATCACAATTATCATAATACCATTATGTTCAGACACTATAAGTCCTTGACGTATAAAGAGGGAAGTAAAAAATTTCACATCTTATATGTTACTTATTATTATAAGTTAAAATAAATAAATAAATAAATATATATATATATATATATATATATATATATATATATATATATATATTGTTTATTATGTGTGCTCTCTCCGTTTACCCACAAAGTCATGGAAGCACTAAACCATTAGTGAGGTGAAGTATGTAACTTGTTGCTTGGAACATTAAACAATTTTTAAGAATTTAATAGAAACCTGATTACACCTAAATGCTCCGGCACCATTATTATATTATATTGCTTAATTTGAATTATTTGATACTGCTTTCTATATATCTTGAGGCTCACGAATATCATAGTTCAAAAAGTAACTTGGTAAAATTGGCGTACTCAATTTGAGAGCCTGACTGTCATTATATACAAAAGGAAAATTACAAATATGGAAAGAGAATAAAATAAAATCAGAATAAAGAGAATAAAATCAAATCAGAATAAAAATAAAATCCCTAAATATTAGCCTATATTGAAGACCCAATAAATCTGTCACAATTATTGAGTTAACTTATGGATATGATTTCCAACACTCCCCCTCAAGCTAGAGCAAATATGTTGACCAAGCCCAGCTTGACTATAGAAGACTGGAGAAGAGAAGGCCTAACAGACTTTGTGAACACATTTGCAGTCTGTTCTGAAGAGGGAACAAAAATAGGATTAATGATACCTGATCGAACCTTCTCTCGAATAAAGTGAATGTCTACCTCAATATGTTTCGACCTTTCATGTAAAACAGAATCGGAAGCAAGCATAATGGCTGATTTATTATCACAAAACAGCCTTGAAGAACCTTTCTCTACAAGACCCAACTCTCCCAAAATTGATTGAAGCGAAAGGAGCTCACAAGTACTTTGAGCCATAGCTCGGTATTCAGCTTCAACAGAGGATCTAGAGACAACAACTTGCTTCTTACTCTTCCATGATATGAGATAATTACCATAGAAAGTACAGAAGTCAGAGGTAGAACGTCTATCTGTCTTACATCCAGCATAGTTTGCATCAGTAAAGTATGAGAGTCCAGACTGATTTCTTGAGGCATAGAACAGACCAAGACCAGGGCACGACTTAAGATACCTTAAAATATGGTAGACTGCATCCATATGAGTTGAGTGAGGGGCATACATGAATTGACTAACCACACTAACAGCAAATGTCAAATCGGGCCTTGTGTTAGTCAAGTAGATAAGACGACCTACTAAACATTGATACATGGATGGATCTGAAAGTAATTCCCCTGACTCAACAGAGAGTTTGAGATTGGGGTCCATAGGAGTGAAAGCGGGTCGACACCCAAGCATGCCAGTATCTTGAAGAAGATCTAAAACATATTTCCTTTGGGATAAAGAAATTCCACGACGGGATCTAGCAACCTCAATTCCAAGAAAATATCTTAGAGGACCTAAGTCCTTCACATCAAAGGACTTTTGAAGATGAAGTTTTGCCTGAGCAATCCCTGAAGCATCATCACCTGTGATAATGATATCATCCACATATACCAATAACATAATGCAACGACCATCAGAGCGACGTCGAATAAAGCAAGTATGGTCTGAGTGGCAGCGCACAAAGCCCATGGATAGAACAACATCGCTGAAACGACTAAACCAAGCTCTAGGAGATTGCTTCAGACCATAAAGAGACTTCCACAGCCTACAAACTTTCCCAACATACTCTCCCTCAGCCCGAAATCCAGGGGGTGGATCCATATATATAGTCTCAAGTAAGTCTCCATTAAGAAATGCATTCTTGACATCTAACTGATGTAGAGGCCAAGAATGGGCAGCAGACAAGGAGATAAGCAGTCGCACAGACGTCAACTTTGCCACAGGAGCAAAGGTAGCACTAAAGTCTTTGCTCGGAATCTGAGTAAGGCCTTTTGCCACCAACCAAGCCTTATGCCGATCAATAGAACCATCGGCTAAGTACTTCACATTAAAGACCCATTTGCAGCCAACCGTTTTCTCCCCAGCAAGTAAAGCAACAAGTTCCCATGTATTATTATATTGTAAAGCATCCATTTCTGTTGTCATGGCAGACACCCAATTGGGATCCTGGAAGGCCTTTGACATGGATCGAGGAATAGAAACGGTCCCAATCTTGCCCAGGAAGGATTTATATGCACCTGAAAGACCATCATAGGAGACATACTGGGAAATAGGGTGGTTAGTGCTACTAAAAAAACCATACCAATTAGGAAGGTAACGATCAGGGGTAGGATAACGGGAGGTATGCTCAGGAATGGTAAGAGCCATGGGAGAAGGAGAGTTACCTGGACCTAGTTCTGAAGATGATTCTGGCAAGGGAGGTTGAGTGCGATGGCGACAAGAGTAGACCTACAAAGGTAGAAGGGAACCCTGCATGGATGGAGAAGGAGATTCTAGGACAGTGTGATTTTCAAAGAGAGGAACAGGACAGGCAATAGGAGAAAACTCCTTCTCCAGATCAAAAGAGAGAGAATCCTGTACTGCTGGATTAGTACTATAAAAAGGAACAGTCTCATGAAATGTCACATCAAGAGAATGATACATATGTTTGGTCACAGGATCATAACAACGATAGCCCTTTGACATAGCAGAATACCCCAAGAAAATACACCTAATAAATTTATCATCAAGTTTATGACGAGAAGGACTACGGTTATGAACAAAACAAGTACAACCGAAAACACGAGGCAGAAGATGAAACAATATATAATCAGGCTAGAGAATCTAAAGTGGGGCCTTACCACCCAAAACTTAACTGGGAGTATGATTAATCAAAAAAGCAGCTGTAAGAACAGCCATGTGCCAATAGAATTTAGGCACATGTATACCACTCAAAAGACATCGAACCATAGACATAAGATGACGATTTTTGCTTTCAGCCACGTCATTTTGCTCAGGAGTGTAGGGGCAAGTGAGTTGATGTAAAATCCCATTTTTATTAAGTTCAATCCGAAACTCATTCGAAACATATTCTCGTCCATTATCAGAACGAATATTACGGACAACAGTGTTATACTAGGTTTTGATCATTTGAAGAAACTGGGTAAATAAAAGAAACACATCAGATTTCTTTTTCAATAAATAAACCCAAGTACAACGAGAATAATCATCAATAAATGTCACATAATATCGATATCCAGAGAAAGAAGTAACTAGGGAAGGGCCCCAAACATCAGAATGAATAAGATCAAACATACTAGAAGCACGGCTCATATGAGAAATATAGCTAGTTCTAGTATGTTTAGAAAGCTCACAAACTTCACATTGAGACTTATGGTCCTTACATGCTTTATTTAACGAAGGAAACAATAGAGATAGATACTGAAAGTTTACATGCCCCAAACGTGCATGCCACAGACTAAGGGTGCGAAAAGAAACATCATAAACACTAGAAGTAGGTAGGACAGAAGCTTAAAGACTCGTTCCTGGTGGTTCCCCAAAGTAGTAAAGCCCATCACGCTCATAACCCCTGCCAAAAATCCTCTTCGAACAAAGGTCCTACAACAAACAGTGATCTGGTAAGAATATAACTATACATTGAAGGTTTTTTGTAAGCCGGCTAACAGATAAAAGGTTAAAGGTAAGTTTAGGTACATGAAGGACAGATGAAATAGTAATATCAGGAGATAGACAAACATCACCCTTACTGTGAATGTAAGATGTAG